GATTATTTTAGCAAATAATGTCAATTTATAAGTATATATAATGTATTATATAATATCTCATAGCAAATGTAAAGTTATGGAGCTCAATAAAAATATTTATGTATTTTTTAATATCAGAAGGTTATTCATTTGCCTTGTACACAGTAGCCCGAGTTCAAGCCCCAACTCCCCTATAATTCCCAAATCCACAAGGAGTGAGCCCTAAGTACAGAGTCAAGAGTAAATTCTGAGCACTGCCAAGTATGGTCCCCAAACAAAATAATCAAAGTAAAATTGATATATTATATATATAACGCATTATTACATTATATATAATTATATAGAAACATTGAAGTGAATTATATTTCTCACATCACTCATGATGCTTTCATACTTAACAACATTAAATGTTGATTTCTTTTCATCTATTTTGGACTAAAAGATCAAAAAGAATAAAATGAAATCTGGGATTTTATTTTGTGGTAAAACATATGCCTTGCTTATGTGACCACTTGGGCTTGATTTCCAAAGCAATTCTCATCAGTCTTCTCAACAGTTAAATAAGAAATGCCTTCATAAATACATGATATAGATTAATAAAAAATATAAAAATAGTAAGAGCTTCATCCACCAAGTTGTGCTGTTCCTTCAAATCTAAATAAGAATCTGGCTGAGTAAAGTATTCATGGTCAGGCTCTGCTTCGTTTGATGGCCACACATTTCTTCAACACTCAGTAACCCAGCCTAAACATACAAAGACAACCTAACTTAGACTCCTAACCACACAAAAACATGCAGGAAACAACTCAAAACCGCAAAGATCGCAATGGTAAAGCAATGCAGAAACCAAAAGCTAGGCCGGTTGATCCAATCAGTAATAATGAGCTATATAACTTCTCTGATGAAAAATTTAGAATGGAACTGTGAGGATGCATAAGGAGCTCAAAGAAACTATTGAATAGATCACCAATAAAATACAGGAGGATATGAAAGCAGAAATTAGGAAAATACAAAAAATGCAAGCAGAAATGACAGATCTGAAAAAACATGATAGGTAAAATGGAAAAACTCTCTGGATGGCATCAAGAGGAGAGTAACTTCTGCGGAGGACAGAATCAGTGAGCTCCAAGATGAGGTGTGTAGAATCTCCAGACAATAACAGAAGCTAGAAAAGAGCCTCAAGCAAACCACAGATGAAAAGAGAACATTGGGATAAAGTCAAGAGAAACAATATAAAACTTATTGGAGTACCAGAGGGTCAGGAAGAAAGTCTTGATGAAGAAGCAACTGTCAAAGCTCTCATTACTGAGATGGTCCCAGAGCTGAAGAGTGCATGAACCCAAATCCAGGAGGCCTGAAGAGTATCAGCTAAAAGAAATCAAAACAAAAGTACCCCAAGATACATCCTAATCAGATGACACGATTCTATGTTTAGAAAATCCTAAAGAATCTTCAAAAAAGTAGATTTGCTTTCAGCATCAGCAGCAGGGTGGGATAGGTAGCACAGGGGATGTGAGGGATGCTGGAACCCGCAGTGGTGGAGGATGGGCACTGGTGGAGGGATGGGTACTTGATCATTGTATAACTGAAACCTAAGCACAAAAATTTGTAAGTCTATAACTGTACCTCATGGCATTTCACTAATAAAAAAAAAGTAGATTTGCTTCTTAGTAAAGTAGCAAGTTACAAAATCAATACCCCAAAATTTATGGCTTTCATATATACAAATAATGAAATATAAGAAATAGATAGTAGAAAAACAATTTTGTTCTCAATCATACCTCAGAAAATCAAATACCTCGGAATCAGCGTAACTAAAGAGGTAAAGGACCTATTAAAAAAAACACTGCTTCAAGAAATAAAAGAGAACGTAAGGAAATGAAAAATGAAAACATACCATGCAAGTAGGTTGTAGAAAATGATTGGATTAATTTGTGTGATATGAAAAAACAGAATATGATACAAAAACCCAAGGACATTAGAAACATGGGCCAGAAAGATTTGGTACAAGATTGGAAACTTCTCATGAGTGCTAGGGGAGAAGGAAGTTAGTATAGAGAAGAGACCACTGTGACAAAGATAGTTGTAGGGTGGTGAGGAGAAGAGAGGAGAGAAAAGAAGAGAGAAGAAATCAAAAGAAGGAAAGTTCCTGCCATAGAGACACGCTGCAGGGAAGGGTGGCAGAAGGGAAACTGGGGACATTGGTGGTGGGAACTGTTCACTCTGAATTTTTTTTTTGGTCAAAGGTTTATTTATTTATTTATTTATTTATTTATTTATTTATTTATCTATCTATTTTTATTAGTGAAATACCATGAGGTTCAGTTGTAGACTTACAAATTTTTGTGCTTGGGTTTCAGTTATACAATGATGAAGTATCCATCCCTCCACCAGAGCCCATTTTCCACCACCACGGGTCCCAGTATCCCTCCCACCCTCCACCCCCCTATCCCACCCTGCCTCTGTGGCAGGGCATTCCCTTTTGTTTTCTCTCTCTCTCCTTTTGGGTGTTGTGGTTTGCAAAAGAGGCATTGAGTGGCATGCTGAAAGTAGACTATAGACCAACATGATTGCCACTCAATGTCACTCTGAATTTTTAAATTCATTTAAATTCAAAAAGTAAATTTGTCCTTCAAACAGAGCTGGTTTTAGATTTTACGTACAGAAGAAAACATATCCCTGTAATAACTCATGAATGGAATACATATTTAGTTTACATTTAAGTGAACTTATTTGCTTTATGTATTTAAATATTCATTTTGACACTTATTTTATGCCAGTATACACTAGTGGTAGGGATTCAGGATTGAAGGTAAATCAAACTGGGGTTGTTATTGCAAAGCAGTGTGTGTGTATCCAAAAGTAAGAGATTAAAATATGTGGTGATTTAGGGTTAGAGTCTGCTGCGTGACGTAGAAAACATATGATAGAATTTTATGGACATTATACAAGAAAATTTTGTTTCATGTATTTGATAAGCCCATGAAATTAGAAATAAGAAAACAGGACTAGGAAGAAAGTTTTTGGTTATTGCTACCTATCATGCTCACCCATCAGAACCACCTTGGTACAGAGAAGAAAGAATGGCTGAGTGAAGGATTTTGTATATTATGACAAGTCACAGCTTTTTTTAGAGGACAACTGAGTGTATCTAGTTATAGGCATGTGTACCTATAATTGTCTATGTTGCTGTATCCTTTCCACTGATACATTAATAAACATCAGCCATTTATATTCTACTCATTTTCCTCCAGCACTATTTCTATCTTACTGACAACTGGTTTTGAACAAAATCTACCCGCAGGTCCTTTTTGTAGGGAAATACTTGAACTGTGTCAAGATTTAAACTCTGGCTTTCCAAACCCTGCTTCTGTTTAGTCTTTGCATAATATTATGACTTTTTTTGCCTTGTATATAGTTCAGTAGAGTTAGAAAATAGATAAAATGTAACATACTTCCTCTGGACTAACACAGAAAGAAATATCACTGTAACTGAACTTAAGTTGAAAGATACTGAAACAAAAAGGGGTGTAAGATAAGGAATGATACAGAGGTGTGGAGATGTTTCAGAAAATGTTCTAGTGAATAGATGGGGCCTGTGGAAACAATAGCATGTGGTAAAGACTGGAGCATAGCATTTAGAAAAAGTTTAGGGGCTTACTGAATTTGAACCTATTAATACCATCCTACCAGAGTAATCAACAACATAGATTGTGGCTCTGATGTTTTCATCAGCAATGGAGTAAGCCCCTCCTAACTCTCCCAAATAGGATAAATTGTTGTGAATTAGAGTTTTGGAGGTACGCAAAATGTCAAGCTCTAATCTAGCTCCAGAGTTGGCTTCAACTTCAGCCTTTAGGTTTTTCTCAGCTAGTCTAACTAGAACATTCCTGAATCCCTAAAGTCAACAGCCTTGTCTTCTGTGAGCTCAGAGAAGCCTCTAGGGTCATTTTAAAACATAATAGCACTGGTATTTTGAGTGCATGTTTGGGAAATGAAGCAGTAATACGGTGCCAATTCTGTTTACCCAGAGGGCTTTACATATATTATTTAAAGAGTCACACCTTGGATTCTGAGTTCTGAAACTGAGTAGTAGGGAGATGCAGAACTATGAGCATACTCTCCAAGAGCCATATAGATGCTTGCTAATATACACTTATAAACATGTATACACACTCAAACAGACTTATTTGAAGAAGTTGCTTGGGACCAGTTTCCCACTTTTCCATCACCTTAAAAGCAGGTAAGTTGTCTTAAGTGAGAAGATTGTTGCTTTATGTTCACATTCTGGTTGTATATTCATTGAGCATCAGGAACTCAGCTGCTGTTTGCTTTTCGCCTTCTTAGTAATCATTACAACAGCTCTTATACAAAAAGTTTCCAGAAGCCTCATATCTGCTGAAATTGTATGTTTAATTTTTTTACCTAAGGTTGTTAATTTTTTTCTTTTTTTTTTTTGCCTTTTTTGGGTCACACCGAATGATGCACAGGGGTTACTCCTGGCTTTGCACTCAGGAATTACTCCTGGCTGCGCTTGGAGGACCATGTGGGATTCTGAGAATTGAACCCGGTTGGCTGCATGCAAGGCAAATGTCCTACCTGCTGTACTATCGTTCCAGCCCCAAGGTTGTTAAATTTTTAAGTGACCTCATTTTTTTAAATCCTTGCTAACCTATTTAGCGTCTGGTTGCTGAGAGGTGTATATAATATAGCATTAGCTTCTCTTGTATTTCTCTTTATTTTTGTTTTGCATTATTTTCTTTAATTTGGTGCACAATAAAATTATACATTTATATTTTTGTTTGACACTTGTTTCATAAACAAATAAAAATTGCTGTCACTAGCAAAATATTTATCATTCATTTTTAAATAAACTTTCAGAGTCGATGTCAGTTTATTGTTCGAAATACATAATATTACAGGATATAAATTAGTTAAAATTTCAGTACATTTTTGTGTCTTTTAAATTTTTACTTTTTGTTTTTCATTTTGAAAATATTGATTCTCTTTGAAAACTTGATATGGTTTCTTCATTGATTTCTCAGGTATTTGTCCAGGGTGCCACCATGACTGCTTGCAACACCACACAGGGTCATCCTTCTTTCTTCATTCTCCAAGGCATTCCTGGTATGGAAGACATACACTTATGGTTGTCTATCCCCTTCTCTTCCATGTACTTCATCACTGTTCTGGGGAACTGCACCATCCTCTTCACCATCTCCACAGAGCGTGCCCTGCACAAGCCTATGTTTCTGCTCCTCTATATGTTAGCCCTCACAGATCTGGGCATGTCCACAACCACCATTCCCAAGGCCCTCTGCATCTTCTGGTTTAGCCAAAGTGAGATCAGCTTTGAAGGCTGCCTGGTCCAGCTGTTCTTCATTCACTCCATCTCTGTCATGCAGTCTGCCATTCTGATGAGCATGGCCTTTGACCGCTATGTGGCCATCTGTGAACCCCTGCGCTATGCCACCATCCTGTCCAATAGTCGCATAGCGCTTATAGGTCTGGTCAGTTTAGTAAGAGCCATCCTGTTCATCCTTCCAATGCCTGTCCTCCTCCAGCAGATGCCCTTTCGTGCCAATAATGTCATCCCCACCACCTATTGTGAGCACATGGCTGTGGTGAAGATGGTGTGTGTGGACACCACGATCAACAGGATATATGGTCTTGTGGTGGCCTTGTTTGTTGTTGGACTAGACATCTCAGCTATTGCTTCATCTTATGTGCTAATCATCAGAGCTGTAATGCGTCTCTCTTCTAAGGAAGCCCACCACAAAGCAGTGAACACCTGCACCACCCATATTTGTGTTATGCTTGTCTCCTACACACCCTCTCTTTTCTCCTTTCTTACTCATCGCTTTGGCAGGGGAATTCCACCTCATGTCCATGTCATTCTTGGTAACCTTTACTTCCTGATACCACCAATGCTCAATCCTATTATTTATGGAGTAAAAACCAAGGAGTTTCGAGAAAAGCTATCTAAATATGGGTGCTGGAGAAAGGATCCCATGACCATTTCCCATGGTCAGAAAGGAGTTTGATAAAAAGCTATCTAAATATGGGTGCTGGAGAAAGGATTCCATTGCCATTGCCCGTGGTCAGAAAGCAGTTTGATAATTCAGCAGTGGTAGCTGTAAAGGGAAAGTATTAAGTAATTACAACTTCTGGGGAAATAAGCTAATGACAGAAAAATTACATATAAACACATTGACTGTAAAAAATCTTCAGAAAAAAAGGTTATGACACTAGGCTAATTTGTTCTAATTCCAAAGGTTCACTGTGGAATAAAAATGATATCTTCTTCCATACCTAACACAGCATTTGGGCAGATTATTCTTGATGTGTGATGTTACATATAAAATCACTTTGAACAATGACACATACAAATGCAAGTAAAATTAGATGAAATTTTACCAAATGAAAAGACCATAAGAACAAACAGCAACTTGCCCACCAATTTGCCTGAGCAAGACCAAGTAGGGGTGTATCTGCATTTGAGTATTAAAAAGTCGGAAGTAAAGATTACTTGGGGAAAATGAGAAGGAAAAGTAAGCACAAATATAGATTTAGAGTCACTATTTTATTATTTTTTCTGTATAAACTTTACATTTGGACAAGAGGATTTGTTTTCCCTTGTAAACCTGGGAGTTATAAATGAAAATGTAACCTCCAGTTCACAGAGAAATTTCAAGGAAAAGGAAAAACAAAACCTAATTTCACCTATATTTTTCCTGCTTGGGCTCTTTCCTTTCTTAAAGTGTTATTAATCTATGGTTCCTACAGCAGAATGAAAGTGAATCCTCTCCTATATGCTTACAGAAAAAGTGACAAATGACACTAATATTAACTCTTTTTCTTTTTCTTTTCCTTATAGAAAATTGATTCTAGTTTTAAAAAATTTAGCAAAAGATACATATGTTTGGTGTTTCTGTAAATTTTAAATTACTTCCTGTCCATTAGTTATTTGGAGAATGAATTAATACATGGTCTATATTTATTTCACTGTTCTCATAATATTTGGGAAAAAAGAAATGTTTTTAATCTACACATAAATAAATATCAGTTATAAAAATATTACATGATAGTATTTATATATATTAAAATCTTCTAATAAATTATCATGAAGACTGTATCTTTTACAGGTCTTATGATGTTGAGGCAGAAGATTTTTATCATTAGTGAGATTAGATCTGAGTTCCTGAGAAAACAGGGGTTAAAACAAAGGCTTGCTTCTGGCAGTTTACTTAAAAAAAATTTGGAATGCAAATTGATGAAGTAAAACTGTAAAGAAGGAAAGGCAGTACTAAGATTTTTTTCTTTCCCCATCCAGTTACAAATGGTTGATACTGGTATTCCACTCTGCCAGAGTTATCCAAAAATTTATAAAAAGTGTCTTATAATTGTTTTCTCAAGAAAATGAATGAGCTTGAGTCGCTCATAACCTACCCGATAATTATTAACTTAACGTTTCTAGGTTGTATGCACATGATAGAAGAGCTGGTTAGTAGAATGTCCCAAGCCATGAAGTAAAGGAAGTTTCATGGCAAGAAACTACAACTTGGGTTGACTTTCTTCTACATGGACGAGGTCACAGAAGCAGTGGCTTAATTAGATATGACCAAAAGCACTGTGATGTGGGGTTTTGTGCCAGGATTGCAGTAATCAACGTGATGGTGGCATTATCCTACTTGTCTTCCTTTGAGATTAATAGAGAAATAACACTTGAGCACAACCAAACTAATTAATTTTTCAAAATTTAATAGTGTACTTATCTATCTTTATTTAGAAAAATTAATTTCCACAACTATAATTCAGGTGAGCTGGAGCGATAGCACAGCGAGTAGGGCATTTGCCTTGCATGCGGCCAACCCGGCCCACCCAGGTTCGATTCCTTTGCCCCTGTTGGAGAGCCCGGCAAGCTACTGAGAGTATGTCACCTGCACAGCAAAGCCTGGCAAGCTATCCGTGACATATTTGATATGCCAAACACAGTAACAACAAGTCTCACAATGGAGACGTTACTGGGCTCGCTGGAGCAAATCAATGAACAACAGGACAGTGCTACAGTGCTATAATTCAGGTAACCTTAGAAGATATTCTTTAAGAATATTTATAGTCTAAATGAAGTTTAGTGGTACAGTATATGTATGAAGGAGGCCCTGGGTTTGATCACTAGCACCATAAAAAAGGAAAATCCATTGAAAAAAATATTTAAGGCAAAGAGATAGTATATGAGTTATAGAGTTTGCTCTCCATGCTGCTTCAACCCCCAGCAATGCATATGGTGCCCCAAGTACCACCAGAGTGATACCTGAGCACAGCAGGAATAAGTCCTGAGCACTGTTATGGCCTCAACCTCAATTCCCAAATATGTAATGGATTTGATTTAAATATATGTATTTTAATATATATTTTAAAAACCTCCAAGCAAATAAAATGATCCTTTATAGGTGCGATCAGTACTCCTTATTCCTTTCATACACGGATCAAAATTGATATGATGCAATTTTTCTGCTGCTACCCATTTTTTGTTATTGGCAAAATAATATGTGTGTTTGCTAAAGGAAACAAATGTGATAGGAAATAATACTTTTAAACAATTCTAAATCCCTAGAATTAAACCTTCTAAGTAGGTTTTATTTACACTCTAATTGCTCTATATATTTAAAATATAAATAAATATATAAGCACTTAGACATATTTCCCTCTTTTACATATATTACTATGCCATCAGGGCTGGAGCAATAGCACAGCTGGTAGGGCATTTGCCTTGCATGCAGCCAACATGACCAACCTGAGTTCGATTCCTCTACCCCTCTTGGAGAGCCCGGCAAGTTACCGAGAGTATCTCGCCCCCACAGCAAAGCCTAGCAAGCTACCCATGACGTATTCGATATGCCAAACACAGTAACAAGTCTCACAATGTTACTGGGCCCGCTCCAGCAAATTGGTGAACAACGAAAGAACAGTGACAGTGACAGTGACAGTGACAGTGACAGTGACAGTGACTATGCTATCAATGCTCTGACATATTTAGCTTTGATTTTTGACTTAGATTCTGTTTATTTAATTTGCTTTTACTTATTGCTAATTGTGAATTTCTTTTTCTGCCATTGGCACTGGCAAAGGCTACTTTTGTCTTTAATTGATTCATGCAGTCCTGAACTTTTCTACTGTCAGTGTCACTGTCCTACCGTTGTTCATCGATTTGCTTGAGCGGGCCCAGTACCGTCTCCATAGTGAGACTTTGTTGTTACTCTGTTTGGCATATCGTGTACATCATGGGTAGCTTGCCAGGCTTTGCCATGCGCGCAAGATACTCTCGGTAGCTTGCCGGTCTCTCCAAGAGGGGCGGAGGAATCGAACTCGGGTCGGCCATGTTGGCTGCGTGCAAGGCAAGCGCCCTACACGCTGTGCTATTGTTCCAGTCCAACTTTTCTACTATGATTCTTTAATGAGTAATATTTCCCTAATCATTATGTTCTCTAACACCATAAATTAGACAAAATGAAATCAAATAAAGTGGAAAATAAAGACAAATGAAGCAGGTTCAGTTCATTCACTTTAGATAGTCATGTCTCTAGTTAGTCTTCTAGTATTGAAAAAGACAACATATTCCTCTCCTATGGCAGAACTCCTTTTCTAAAGTATTTCTTTCATTCTTTTTCCATGGTGAATTCTGATCAGTTTTAAGGTTATGCTCCATTTTTATAGAACTGAAAGTTTTAGTGTATATCTTTCTCTTCAGAATCGCCCCTTTTGGTGTGGGTAAATTGACTTCTTTGTAGGAATGTTTGTTATGCTATTTTCTTCTTTGTAGCCTATTATCAAATGGAGTTTTCTGAGTTTACTTTTGTTCGTTTGTATTTTTAAAATAATGGTTTATTTCTCGTTGTGATATGTAAAATTTCTTATTACAAACTGAAATATTTTCCAAAACTAGTCTCCTTAAATTGAAAGGGACTTTATATATGACTTTTCTGCCTCTACTTAAAATGCTATTGCTTTGAACTTGTCTTTTAAAATTTTCAATCGCTGTGGTTGTTCTGATGGACCTCAAATTCTCAAGCTTAATCAGTCAACATTAGAAAATAGATATTTATGTAACTAAGTATCTCTTATTTTGTTTTATTATTTTGAATTATCTAGGTCTTGGAATTTTACATGTCTGGAATTTTCTCCAAATAGTTAAATATTGAATCACGTGGAATTAAATCTACAGATATACAGATATATGTAAATTTAGCTAAAATTTAGATCTAAATCTAAGACACTGATGCTTTCAATATGTTCAGTCAGTAGAAAATATTTTCAAGGTAGGTAGTAATTCAGTCTTTCCTTTGCTTTTTTTAAGTGAAAAAAAAAACCCTCAATATTATAACCTCAAGATTATCTTTGGTTCTATGTAACCAATACAGCCAATAAAACACAGAATTTTTTTTTTTATTTATTGAATCACTGTGGGAAAGGTTACAAAGCTTTCAGGTTTAGGTCTCAGTCATGCAAATATCAAACACATTTCCCTTTACTAATACTTATTTTTTACCATGAAGAACCCCAATAAAACCCCACCCCCCACCCCTCCCCGTCCCTGTGAGGCAGATGAATTCTAGTTAACACTCTATCTGCTTTGATTAGATTCATTGTTTCAATAAAAGATTCACCACTATTATTTAGAGTTTACCCCCCCAAATCAGACATGCTGAAAAAGCATTGTGAAGTGATTTGCTTTCTACAGCTGGGCTCAAGAATTAAATGTTGGTTTTGGATTTCTGCTATTTTACCTATTGACCCTGGAAGTATTTCTACTGAAAGTCAGATAGTTAAGAAATTGGTTTCTGTGTTCTGGAGTCACGGCCGTGCTGGAGAGTCGCTCGTGGGTAGCAACTGGTGGCCTCGATAGGGCGTGAAGGGCGGACTGAAACGCCCCTCTTCCCATGAGGTTTTAGTTGCCCCCACACTCCCGGCTCATACCTGCTGTCCACAAGCCTCCCATGTAGCCGCCATCTTTCTTTCCAGAGAGGAGAGGGCGAATGGGGCA